ATTGAACAAGTTCTCACACTTCCCCCGCTAAACATGTTTATCTTTCATCAAATTGTTTCAAGGACTAGTTTCTTGCAAATTAAAGGGACAAATTCACCAGTTGTTTGGCCATTCGCACATTAGTTTCAGAAACGGGAAGCTAATCGGTTTTTTGCGTTAACAAAGTCGAACTTGCCAAAGCTGTCAACTCTAAAATTCCACGACCCTTAAGAAATTAGCCTTTGACATTCGGTATTCCTGGTATAACTTCAGAGTTAAGTAGGCTAGAGTTAATGGCTGAATATGCACGCTCTCTTTTTTCTGCCTTTCAAGGAACTAGCCTTTATTTCCTGCATGTGATTTTTTTTGTCACATGAACTGGGTGTGAAAAGTTCATTTAAATGAAAACAGAGTAATACAGTAACTATCGAGGACTGAAAGATAAATATATAGTCAATATCGGTAGGTCAGTACTTGTCTTACAAACTCTAGCATGTAATCGTGCAGTTAGCTACTAAAGTCGAAAGGTTTCATAGACAACAATGTGGACCAGCTCTAAACAGAATAGTATTATTCCTGGCCTTGAGAGGGATTTTTAAGCGACAACACCTTATCGATATTGTTATGCAAATCATGCTGTATTGTAAGATATTACTCCTTTAATTTCCACGCGTAGTACGATTACTATCAATTTATGTTATTTATAAAGTAGAGGTAAGGGTTTCAGATAATTTATCTCAGCAGACAGATGATCGTCTCTATTGATAAACCTTATTCATATAAAAACTCATTTGTGATCATTTACTCATCCTTCATTAGGCTATTAAATGCAGTGATATTTCAGAAAGTACCATATAAACATCAGAATTATCGTTGGAACATGCGAGCCTTTGCATTCCCCCGAGTAGTCACTGGAATACTTACATCCTTCCCTCATATTTGAATTATGACACATTAGTGACGTCATCCCATTAGCCGAGAGAAATTATATTAAAAATCATTTAATACTTATTTAATAAATTGTTTACTACTTACAACTCCAGATGGCCTTATCAATTATAAGGTCTAGCTCATGGTCACCGCTGAATTGATCACGTTTGTAGATACGAGTTGTACCCGTGTGCTATAGAAGTCTCTTCCACGATGTTTTGTATTTTTAAGCAATGAAGAGCACATTAGTTTTCTTTAGGGAGTACTAACCGTTGCAAGTTAGTGGTGTTCAAGCGGTGCGTTTTCTTGGACACATTGTAAATTATTTGGGGTTCGGTTTAGCCTTTAATTTATCTTCTCTTTTTCTGGTCCACAGAACTCCTAGTATCAGATTTCAATCATTTTGAAGAGGATGCTTTAGATAACTGCTTAGGGACAAATTTTCAAAGTCCTACAAATAGTAAGTGTAGCGCACTGGTTGATGAACTGACCGAAGGCACGAGTTGTACCCCTTAAAAGCAACTGAGTTCTTGTCGTTTTTTAATTCAGATAAAACACATTCAATTTTTAATGCAGACGACGACATTTTGTAGGTTCCAAGTGATCTAACCAATTAATATAAATTGTGATCCTTATAAACTACGGTTATTGTGCAGAGACGTGTAGGCAAACCAATTTAACCGTTTTTTTCAGTTTGAATAACTATCATTATTAATCATCTATAAAATATGTTCGCTTTCAACATTCATGAATGAATTTTAAAACTGCTCACTTTCATTTACCGAATATTCCAGAAAGAACATTGTCCTTATAAAATATGATAGTATAAATGGACAATGAACTTATTCCTGTAGACGAGGTATTTGTCGTACAATAGTATTAGGTGTGGGGAGTTTTGTTATGTTTGATTGATGACTTACATTCATAAATCACAACCGATTTAAAGTGGCTTTACCGAATCATATAATATCAAACAAATTCTTTGCATTAAAAACCTTGACGCATTGCTTTAAGATGTCTTTTGGGGTAAATATTACAGTATGAATAGTTTTAAACCGGAAGTAGTATATTTCGTATTGTACTTTAGCGATTGCTCTTTATTCTTAATCGAACATAGTCGGAAGTACCCTATTGATAATTGAACAAGTTCATATAAATTTGAATTCAATGGGCATGGTTTATCTGTATTCATTGGCGCACAATCCAATCAAATCGCTTCATTCCGTGACACTAGAATAGTGACTATTGCAGTCAAGGTATAAGACGAAGTTCATAATACCTTGAACGTGGGAAGATGAGCATACAGGCATATTGCTGCACTCGAGACCAATGGTTGGTTACTGTCCTCGTGTGGCAATCTATATAGTTATACACGATATTTTGTGTGGCTCTATGGTCGAGTGGAATAAGGAGAAAATAATCGAGTCAATGTTTTTGATTTTCACCTTTCCTACAGAGATTAAAAAGCTTGTTAAATTCAGAGATAGTTCCTTTAAAGTGAAATTAGTAATAATGTTTAAGTACCGAGCCTATCTATTGATTAAGATTACTGTATGTAACTATAATTGTTCCATGTAATGACTAATAATTCAAAATACCTGCAAATGATATAAGCTGTTTGAAAAGACTACTAGTCATAAGCAAAGCAAGATTATTAGGTTTCACAATATGTAAGTACAATTTCGTAAAAATGTTCTTCTGCAGACTTGAAACTGTCGTAGTATGTCGTAGAATATGTACAATATCCATTGATAATATTGAACTGAGACTGAAATTGTTTATAAACATAAGGTGATTATTGAAATGCAGATCAGGAAAAATAGAATTTGAGTATCGTCTGTCAGTTTGTCAATCATTATTATATTTACCTTCTCACTTATCTATACCAATATACTTAACACAGTTAAGGTGTCAAACAATTTGTGAGGACCACAGGATCAGAGTAAGCGGATCCGTCTTCTTAGACAGATTTGTTTCACAAGTTAGTTTATGGTGTAGGCCTGCGTCGGTTATTTGATAAGTTCCTCATCTTGCAATAAAAAAAATCATTGTTATCTCGGTCTCACAAGAGACTGTTTTGTAACATGTTGAAATACAGGACTCAAGGACCACTTTAAACTTAACAAACAGAGACACACTACATCATTCTCAACTAGGTAATAATTATCAAGGTTACAGTTTAACACCAATTAAAATCTTTTCTAATAATGCTACTATTATTGTTATTTAAAGCTAATAATGGACAAGGGAGATTATAACAACTTTAATGACATTTTTACACAATTTTAAACCCGTCTTAACCACTTTCTCGATACTTGAGATATTTACCTGTAAAACGCATAAAGTAGATGTTTGACAGATAATTCTTTATGTTCAAATTCTCGCCGTCTTAATTATGATATTTTAGTATGTAACAAGTAAATAATATTTAAATAGAAGTAATGTTATACGCCACACAGACCAGTCACCCAGTCTCGGCTCAAGACAAAAAAGGGAAAGAAAAAGACTGACGACAAGAGTCCAAAGACTACAATTAACATGTATACAAGCAGTAGTCATTCACAAAACTGTGATGTGTGGTTAACAATGGTTAGCCAACCCCGATTTGGTCGCGTCTAATTGTCATCAAAGGTCTAGACTGAGTGCCGCTCAATTTATTCATTTGAACCAAGATTACAATAGGACTTTAAAGTATATCTACCTATATAACTATTTTAAGTATACATATTGAAATATAGAAGAGTTGAATATGTCGTTTATATGTTATTAACACCCGTCACTATCTTGTCAAAATCAAACCACCATAACTTTTCTACACAATATGATGTTCAGATGATTTTATCTTGGAGACTTTGTGGTTTCTGGATGGTCAACTTTGCGGTTAAATACTGAATGTAATGATAGTTTGAATCTACGGGCCTGTGATCTGAAGTGTTCTCTGCGTGAAACCACGGCGATAAGTGTTTGATCCTATAGAAGGATCCAGATTTATCGGTTGAACAATCTTGTCAGTCAACAGATTTGTAATTGAGCAGAAATAAAAGTGGAAATATTAGCAGTACCTCGTGGTGTGGTTGTATATATGTATGTATATATATAGGTACCATATATATATATATATATATTTACAGTGTTACAATGTTTGATCGAATGTTTTACAGTGTCGCATTTCGCTTCAGAACGCGTTTGCTTTGGAAAGTTTATTGATGTACATCCCCCCATGTCACTGTAAACATTATGACAGAAGTAATTCCATTAAGCAGTAAAATCTGCAGTCAAAGTTGAAACATGGTTATTGGTGGTCACGAAATCAATGTTTTATGAGTATTTTAGTCCTTACTTCATACGCCTTTTTCGAGAAAGGAATTGTTTGTTTGTGGCTTGTGTGTGGGAGGCTTGAAAAGTAAGAATCAATAGAATCCGCTTTTTATAAAGAAATTGACGTTAGTATTTATTGTCGGTTGATTCCTAAGATTGCTATAAAAGTTTAGCAATTGAGACTGCTATATGGAACTATTTAGATAATACAGTTAAAATGTCATAAGCTGAATGTTCACGGTAAGGTTTCTTTTTTCTTTGCTTTCTGATGGTACCTATCTTATCTTACAAGTTTAACTGATCTGTTCTATTGATACCTTATATTTGTACTACTATTTGTGTATATAAGCAAAATGTTCGGGTCAGGGCTTATTTGAAAAAGAGCTAAACGAAATTGACCAATCGGCAAAAAGATGAATAAATCGGACCATTCAGTGTCTTATCGAAGGATTATACATTCATCTTTTCATGAAAAACTGAATTCTGAACATCTAAAAAATAGGAATTATTCTGTCTTTATAATCTGAGGGAAAGCTGTTTTGCAACTATTCAGTCTGTTGTATATGCTGAGTTGCTTTACCTCAGATTTTGTTCCCTCTCTATAAGCTAATAACAACATGGATTGCAATCATTCCAAATTTGGTAAGATATGTTTCGCCAACAGATCAATCGTCTAAGGTTGTTGCGCATTCTAAACAGTTAACAATACAAACTTTCAGTTGATGTCACATACTTTTAATGTTTAATATCTTTATATTTTCAGATAAAACAGAATGCGGAAGATACAAAATCTAATAGTTTTATGTTTTACCTTACACCTTGGTGCCCATACGTCATCAGAACTTTATTTCCATTTATTGGAAGGTGAGAAAGACCTGACAGAGAAAGATATACTACGTCAGGAAAAACATAGACCATTTCCTTCTGACACCTTACCTATCATGAACTTGATAGAAAATCCTAATGCGTCATACGATCCTAAACCCTCCGATATTAATCGCCGGTTTCTGAAACATTTGATAGGTACAGACTATGATAAGGATTTCATGTCATATAAAATACCAAAAGGAATGAATTTCACGACAATGTTTACCTTAGAAAAAGGTCGTCCAGCAGGAAAGAAACCAAAATTTCTAAAACTGATAAAAACTTTGAAACATATCAATGGACAAAAGTTTAAATTAAAACTAGGCAAGAAACATCGGAGAAAATTTCAGAAATACTTGTGGAACTATACCTTTTGCCCCGTGATGTATATTTGGAAGGATCTAGGTCTTCGATTCTGGCCTCGTTGGATTAAGGAGGGGACGTGTAAGTCGAAAAATCAGCGGTCATGTTCGATTCCACCCGGTATGGAATGTAAACCAAGTGGTTCTACAACAAAGACAATATTGAGATGGTACTGCCGGAAAAGAAGTCTCGAGAAGGTACCCTATGATTGTGAATGGTTAATGGTAAAATATCCCATTATTACCAAATGTTCATGTTCTTGTTAGATTATAATTTTGTTGGTGTGTTTGTTTGGTATTGACATCTAGTAAAGCTACGATTACATACATACGTAAGCGTAACTCAAACTCAAACTCAAAACGTGATAACATGTGTCCGTGCGATGATTGTGCATAGCCGTCAATGTATAATGGAAACCGAGCGGTATTGGGTCAGTAAACAAAGAGGAAGAGGAAAGTCCTTCATAGCAATGATGTCATAAAAGGTCCATAAGCGTTCGCAAACGCAAAAAAAAAATCGCTCACTGAGCCATCCGTTGCGCTAACGGAGGTGTTGAGTTTTAGTTTGAGGACTCATGTAAGCAGAAAATTGGATTTGATAAGTATTTGGATAGAATTTGCTCTGGTCCCTTTTTATTGAGATTATGAGGTTGAGTTTGAGTATAGTACTATGTTTGATCGGATTGTACAATGTGTTGTTATTGCTTTATACGTGAAACACTTGTTAAATTAATGCACAGTTATGGTTTTTGTATTTTGTCAACTTTGTGTCGCAAAACGTGTGACTCTAAGAACTTAGATGTGATAGTTTAGATAACCAACTAGCTTCCTGATCGATTTAAGCATGGTACTGAAAATTGTTATTATTTCCGAGTTATCTTCAATATTTCTTATATTTCTTGAGGTATATTATAAATGTTTTGATAAATAACATCTGAATATAATCGTTGTAAATACATGATTGACAGATGCTGGTACGACGAGGCGTAAGCATAGCCTATGTTTTTTTAAAAAAAAATATTGTCTAATATCGTCCAAATATGTTTTTACCGGCTAATGTGGTCATTTATGATATCCGTACAGCACTTTTTGTAGAAATATAGTCCGACCTCTGCTATGCCTGTAATTATCTTGATAAATGGCCATAAAAATGCCAGCCTGGAAATGTCGACTTCTATTTTTCTTTGTCTTTCTTAAATGGTGTTTGAATTTTATGACAATGTTCTACCATCCGACGTTCATCACCTTTCCGATTAACAACCTTTCTATACTAATCTCTGAAAGTCCGTTTTTATTTAATCTATGTTATATTGTATTTAATATGCAAATAATGTGTATATTGTGTCTAGAAGTTTATTATTTGTATATTTAAGTACGTACTGTATATATGAAACTACAAGCTACCATTGTAAATCAGTGGCAATTGACTTAATTGACAAGAAAGTAGCCCGACAATTCTGAACCTACCCGTTCCTCAGACATAATTATCGGATGGGATATCAGCACCTTTGAATCCAGAGAAGAAAATCCCTCCCTCGGGAGTCTCTCCGAGCAAAATGTTGTGTCGCTAGTTTTTGAGAATTATCACCATGACAAAGCCAAATTTGGCATTAATAACGGTTGAGTTTTGTATAGATACCACAATTAGATTTTTTAGCATTCTCAAACAAACATTCTCAAATTCTCAAACAAACATTCTCAAATTCTCAAAATATAGCGACCCAAAAGTATGTCCGAGTAACTCCCATAAAATGACCGTAACATGCCCATAGTCCATCATATCACATCCGAGGGACGGGTAGGGCCAAATTTGTCGGGATTACATGTAGGATGCTGCCGATACAGTAACAATTTGGCACTACCTAACACCAGCTTCGTGTAGTGGTATAAAGCTATAATTATATAGGAAAATCTTAGAGGTATCTTGTTGTGGGCTGCTGAAAACGGAACAACAATCCAGATTGCATCTTGATGTTCCAATATCCGAGTTTCAATGCTTTTACCTACCAATATCTCTCCGTATTTTACAGTAGCGGTGTATGTACAGTGTGTATATGTTATGAATGTATTGTTAAAGCATTAGTATTGTCATTCACTCAACTATTTAACTATAATAAGCTTTTCACAAAATATTGCAACAAACAAATATAGCGTTAGGTGAAGTTTAGTCAATGAAATCCGTCAAGGTTAGCCGTCAGATTGTCTGCAAACTCTATTTCTCCATTTAAATGAGTGTTAATAACAACAAAAGCCTCTTGTGATATGTATCCCCACAAGTAGCATAGTGTGTTATGTTTTAAATAAAGATAGAAAAGTGCGTATTATGAGGCGGTTACCCGACAAAAAGCACCAGCACCATCAGTAGTTTATCGAAGAACAACATTTGCTTCCTAATGAGTCTCAAATTTTAATTTAAGTTATTAGCATCTATTTTATGTGAATGTTACAAACATTTTGTCTCATACAGAAACCTTATCAGCTATTACTGATACTATTATAATATATTATTGTTGTGTATCAAGGGCCTTTGGATTTCAATGTTGAGTAACAATTAACTATTCCTATCCTATTTAGTGTTGAATGTTCAGAGATTAATAGTGATTTTATTAGTTTCAGTCAAGGGCAATTTATTTATTAATAGATATTTATATTATTTGATATTGACGTCTTTACTTAGCTATGAAAGTGCAATCGTTTTTCAATAAAATAATTTTTCACAACGAAGTTCATTGTCTTTACAGCAAAGAGGCCTTTTTACAATTCATGAATTTCCAATTGTGAGACATGAATATTAAAATATTGTATCTAAAGGAATAAAGATAGCTTGCCAGGCAAGGTAACATAGGCCCCCTACCAGTCAGAAATGATAACAAAGCCTGTAGTGGTTTAATATGTGGAACCAATCATGCGATTTTTAATAATTTCAAGCTTTACTGAGATTTCATTGCAAGTTTCATCAAGATCGTATAACAAAATATAGTCTCTATCGGCCTACAAGCCAAATTAGATGCACTGAATTTACTCAAGGGTAATAACTCCAGAACCGTTCACCCGATTGTTACCAATTTCAACTTGACTGAGATCTTGTCTATATATACATGCATACCAAGTTTCATCGAGATCAAATAAAAACTGCACCCTGTTTCATGATTTCAATGATTCAGCTGCATATATCTCTACAGTCTGTCTATCAGGTTGTCCACCTTTGTTTAAAGGTATTTTGTCTATTATAATGAAATATTTAGGACAAGCACTTTTCTGGATGGTATTTCGGATTATAAACTTTGCTTCACAGATCTCTCCAAGCATATCTTTATCTATCTTTTTTCCTAACTGGAAATAAGCACGGCACAGGCACACATCTCAATCATAAGGATCTCTCCGGGAACTTTGACTACAATGACGTCACTACACCAGGACATAAACTGCTTCAATCCATGATGGATGGAAATAATTTTCTCCTTTCATTTTGGCTTTACTTGTACGTCAAAACAAAATAAGTTCGCCATCTCCTTTCAAATACCCTTAATAATCCATGTTGTAAAAACCATTATCGTCAAACACCGAGTAAGTTGTTTTTGTTAAAATGATCCTGGAGTCACATGCGGCTAACGGCACACTATTTTAATATTTAATCATTACATTGGTACCAACGATAGGATGTCCCACATGAAACCAATCCGGCTTTTGTTGATGCGTATAGTATTGAATATCATTTTAAAGTGTGGTCTCATTTTATTCATAATGGACTTTGAAACTGGAAATCTTGCAATAGAGCCTCCTTTTACAGGCCGACTGTCACCATTTAGCTGAAGACATCAACGCTTATGAGCCCCGGAGGTTAGTAAGATCATAGCATCCGAATTACCATTATGATTTATAATGTCATCTGTGCCAGATAAGTCATTTTCTGACCTTTGAGGTGTCCATTTAAAGCCAATATCAGGGTTATCTAATGTAAAAACACAATGTAGCTGAGATCTGATTAGGTTTCAGATGTAGCATTATTTTCGAGCTGAAACTTGACATGCTTAGAAATTATACGTCGGCACTCATCATCGTCATCAGAGGAAAGGATCAGAGCTCTACATCAAGTCTTCTTTAGATTTTGGAACTTTGGTTTGCACATAATAGTGAAAGAGTTCTCTTTGTATTATAAATGAAATGTTAATACAGAATGACATTATATCCACCCGGTCAATACAGCATCCTGCATAAACAATATGGTACACCACACATGACGATGGTAGTCCTAATCGAGGTAAACATTATCATATCTAGGCCTATAATGGGCATTACATAACACTTAAAAAATACTACCTCTTATAATGGACATACAATTCAAAGTCTCAAACTTGGTCAATAGGAGTATGTTCATCTGTCGGACTTACCAGGTGCTAAGACTAAAGAAAATAATCTCCTCTAAGACGATATTTCCATTAAACTAAGGAATTATAGAAAACACTTCTAAACGTATTTAAGAATTACTTAGCTTAATGGATTATTACTTTTATGGATTGAATGCATTATAGAGATAGTCAGTCGTATAGTTTTGACACCAGATAACTGAAGGACAAAGACTCTTTTTGGCCAAGTTTAAAATTTTTCGGTCATTCTTAGAGGTAATATACCTTTAATGCTATTCGAAATTTTTCCTTGTAATTTGACTGACGAAAAGAAAGGCCAGTATATATCCAGACGGCGGCAATTATGTAAAATTCGACCTTAAAATTAATAACCTTCACAAACATTTAACAAACAAACAATCAAGAGTATTTCAAATTCATAACGTTATCCTATTGCATACTTGGTATAATGATGAAAACAACTTCATATGGAGGAATATAAGAGTTAGAACATTTAAATAGAAATTCAATCCATTGTGGTATAAATAGCTAGTTATTATCTCCCTTTTATCATGGAATTGAATAACCATGATCTTTCATAACTAAGATACTTTTGTATTTTGCGGAATCATGATGATTAGGTGTATTATTCCCGCCAAGTCTTGTCGATAAGAGAGGAAGTAGTGTAACAGAATGAAAGTACAGAAAATACAATACAAAAACACTTTGGAAATTGTAACCTCAACAATCTGAAATAATCTACAGGTGAAAAGTGTTTTAAATTGATTTTATTTCACCGAAGGAAACTTTGTAGATATTTGTGTAGAAACAGACTTTTTGTTTGATATTTGCAATGATGCCCAATTTGTTCTGGCACTACAGATTAAGGTTCGGTTAATAACAGCCACAGTCCTATTGCTTGTTGTGTTCACTAGTTCAGTAAGAGTAAAATGAATCGAGATATCTGTTTATCACAAAGTCTATCAACTATCGACAGGGCTTGAAAATAGCACCAGAATAGATAGTTTGGTCCAGTTCGAATTTATATTCCTTAAAATCAAATAAAGGGTTATTGTATATATAGTGAAAAAAGTGGATGTAGGTAGGGAAAGCACGATGTCTACGATATAGTGGTTCTCATTGAGTTTTGGACCCTTGCTCGTTAACCTGAAGGTTTGGGTTTTTATCTCAGATTTTTCACCCCCCCCCCCCCCCCCTTTATTTGATTTT